GATAGATAGATAGATAGATAGATAGATAGATAGGTAGGTAGGTAGGTAGGTAGGTAGGTAGGTAGGTAGGTAGGTAGATATTCCCCTTTATAGATGATTGGATTGATTTTCCGTAGTTTCTGATAAAGATTTATCAGTAATAACATTATCAAACGAATTAACATGCATTGGTCTAGCAAACAAAAGCTTAACAAGATCATTACATGGGATACAGCAGAGCCTCACCCAGAAAAGCAATAAAAATGGTAAATAGTGCAAAGATATGTTGCATGAGGAAAAGTTAAAGCCACTTGTTTTATTTAGCAAGTGAAAATAAGAAAGCTTTTATTGATATGTTTTTAGTAATCCATTGGATTATTGATTTTGTTTTCACAAGAATTTTATGATGAGGGGGAAAATGCATTCGTTACTGATCACACTTATCTGTATATAATACAGTATCCCTAAATGCTAACTTTAACAGTCTTTGATGTGTTTTGAATAATAAAAACTATTGGGGAAATTATTCAACACGTTAGACAAAAAATTGATGAGCTCTTGCTCTCCCTGTAAATATTAAATGATTGCATACAAGCCAAGATTTAAATTAAGGCATTCTCTATTCTACTGGTATGTGAAATTGATGTATTTCTTCCTTGCTTTGGAGCCATATTAACTATTAAAATAAGTGTAATTTTTTAAAGCCTTTTGTTTTTGTTGTGATTTCCTTTTCTGGCAGAAATAGTACTTATATTCAGTTTGTGCAGCAATTCATGTGCTAATTCTAGATTAAAATAATCTATAATTTACTTTTCTTTATTTTCAAGTAATTACTCTTTTTATCTTCGTTATGGTAGTTCAGTAACTAATCATAACTTGTGTAAAGTAGTGCCATGTTAGTGTGCAATAATTATTTATAGTAACAAATAAGACATATACTCTCCCTAATAAGCCATAACTAAATAACTAACGTATATTCAGTTTATGAAAATAATGGGTCCCTTCAGAGGAAGCTAGATTAATACATACTAAAGAGGATTTCTAAAATTCCTGTATTTCATATGTAGATATTTTATTTATTTATTTATTTATTTATTTATTTATTTGCTAGATTTAAATTCTGCTTTTCTTCCAGCAGTTCAGGCGGCTGTACACATCCTGTACAGCACATCCTCTTCCCATTTTTGCCCCAGATCAACAATCCTATGAGTGATTTGGCTCAAAGTCATGCAATGGAGCTTCTCTAGCTCAGAGTGGACTTCAACCTGGAATTTCAGGATGCTAATTTGACACCCTAGCCCAGGGTTTCTCCACCTTGACCACTTTAAGATGTGTGAACTTCAACTCCCAGAATTCCCCAGCCAGCATGCTAGCTGGGGAATTCTGGGAGTTGAAGTC